TGTGTGTGTGTGTGTGTGTGTGTGCGCATATGTGTGTGAGACAGCATTGCTTTACTAAGGAAGAATGTCCAACCTGAGCTTGGTTATGACATATATTGATGGAACAAACTCAGGTCTTCCAAGTTTAACTATGTAGTAAAAGGACTTAGTGTCCCCAGGAAGAAACTCTGAGGTCTACCATAACCAGAGCATCATGGCTAAAGGGCATGCAGAGCTGAATGATGTACGTAAAGGACATAAACCCAACCCTGGAGCTGAATGGGCAGCTCTGCACTCCAAGAACTTTACAATAACTAGAGCTGGGAGTCCTTGGCCAGAAAGGAGGGCAGAGAAAGCAGCCAGGACTAGATGGACAAATGGGTGTAAAGGACACATGGGAAAAAGCAGAGTTAAGAATAAAGCTGGGCTCCTTTCAAGAGAGAGCCTGAGCTCACCTTGACTGTAGCTTATGTAGGGAAAAAGCCTGGCTCTACTAGTGAGGAACTGATAAGTAAAATTACTGGTAAGGTTGGTTTTCCTTTTTAATTTACAAAATTATAGAAACATATCCCCTATAATTTCTCTGTGCTACTGATGTCAGTGGGTTTGGATATACATTTGTTGAACATTTTAAAGTGTAACTTATACAAGTAGAAACTCATACAAGACTGAGAATATTAGGTTTTACTAAATAGAAACCAGTGTTTGAGAACATGCTTTCTCAACTACATTTTCTTTCTCTTTTTTTCACCTTATGTTTGTCAAGTCGTTGTTGAATTTCCTCTCTGGAAGACACAATGATTTTCTGGTCTCCTGCCATCTTCTCCTGACCGGTTTCTAGCAGGTCAGCCAGATCTTGCAGGGCCCTTTCATACTGACTCTTGAGTGTAAGGTTCTGGTTCAGACCACTCCGCCGGGAGCCAAGGGTCATCATCAGTTCATCGTACATGTCCTAAGAGACAGAGACAGCAACACCCACTCTGAGTTCTTATTCAGGCATCTTCCTTAGGCATAGTATCTGCCAGACCCCGACCCAACCAAGGAAGCTCCTTCAGGTAAGAGACCTACGGGGCTTCTCTGCACGTAGGTCATCTGCCTGTCTTTCTCATGAGCATTACTCTGAAAACTTCTTGCAAAAAACGATAAGCTTGGGACCTCTATTCCCATGCCTGTAGTATATTGGTTACATGATTGTGACTTTACACACATTTTGATACCTGGTAGTTCAAGTTCTCTCATTAATCTTGTTCAGTATTCTTATCTATTCCTTTTCTGTTTTAAATTTTATTTTTAAATTAATAATAAAGCACAGCAGAGAAAGTGAAAAATGAACTATATTCATAAGAATTTAAGTTTGGTGTCACTTAGGGAAAGGATGAAATAAATATTTAATAAATAATGTGAAAATTTGGGGGAAAGCAAAGTTAAAGTCTTATTTCTTTTTCTTTTTTTGAGTGTGAACTAAATTTTATTCCAAGAGATGGGTATTCAATAATGGGTGGGGTAGAATAAGTCTGTAAAATAATAGCTCATGCCAATCTTCCAAAATACAATTTAGATTGACTACAAAATGAAAATGTGAATAGAAAAAAGAAAAGTTAAAAGTGTGAATAGAAAAAATAAAAATTAAAAATCTGAAAGATAATTTAAATTACACATTTTAATTGTAATATGTAGTCAATCTAAATATTAAACTTATTAAAAAATAAGCTTAATATTTTAAGATTATGCAAAAGTGTTTCTGAGAAATGGCATATGGGATAGATCTGACTATTGTCTCCTTAGGATGTCAATAGTCTCTGGTGAGATGTGGGAATAAAATGTTGAAATGCTGTTCATGTGGCTAAGGGAGATGTTACAGAAAATGAAATTCTAGTTTTTATAGTGTTCTCAGTGTTTACATAATTTTAGAATAATTGAATACAGGGGTACTTCATAAAGTCCGTGGAAAAATAGAATTAAGCTAATACAAATCTTTCCATGAACTTTATGAAGTACCCTTGTATAGTATTCTTAACATTTTTGTCTGCTAAATAATAATCAGATTTGGGAGTATTCCTCAAATAAAGAGCTAGGGAAACAGAGGATTTTAATGTGAGCAGAAATACTTTAAGACTTAAAAAGGCAATGTTTTTGCCAAATGTGGTGGAGTAAATAACTATTTAAACTGGAAAGACATTTTAGGAGATGATGACACACCAAACACAAAATTTATTTGAGGCATATGGGCCTGATTAATGTATCATATTAAGGTTTAGCTGGCCAGAATGGTTCAATCTGGAAGAGTTCAACTTTAATACCTGTTTACAGATATGACGTTTGACTCTTACACCTGATGCTTAA